CCGCGCGCCCCTCCTGGAGGAGAAGGAGGAGGAGGCGAAGGAGGAAGGAGGCGGGAGGAGGAGTTGCCAGAGAGGCGAGGAGAGGACTGGCGCGGCAGTCGCGCCGGCGCTGGGCGAGGAAGCGGAGCAGGGCCGCCGCCGGGTGAGCGTCTGTGGAGCCCAAGTAGGAGGCAGGGTCTGGGTTTCGCTTTCTGCCTTCCTTTTCTCCGCAGCCCCAGTCCCTGGCCGCGAGGCTTGTTTGCTCCTGGGTGCGCGGGCCGGGCCGGGGAGGCCGCCGGGCGCGGGGCTGCAGCGGAGAGTCTGGGTCAGCGCGAGGCCCTGCGCCGCCTCGGCGGGTCCGCGGGCGGGGGCCGGAGGCCAGAGTCGGGGCGGGGAAACTGAGCGGCGGCCGGGCGGGGGAGCGGCGGTCCGTGGAGGGCTGAGGCCTGCGCGGCCGCAGGCGGCACTTCCCGACCCCTCGGCCTCTGCGGCCGCGGCGCGCCGGGCCGAGGCCGCCGCCTTTGTTGCCCGCAGCTCGCCCGGGAGAGGCCGGGGCTCGGCGAGGCCTGAGCGGCGGCGCGAGGCCTGCGCCGCTCTGGCCCCCACCCCCGCCTCAGACCTGCCGGGCTCGGGGTCCGGGGGCGCGGGGAGGCCGCAGGCGCGAGACGGGCCCGGGGCGGCGGCGCGGGGAATCGGCGGGGACTCGCCGCGGCCCCGCGTCCGCACCGCCCTCGCCCCACCGTGAGGTCGTGTTGGGGACGGTGTTTAAAGTGCTGGCCGGGACTCTAGTCTGTTCTACATGTGAGAGTGCTGCCGGATAGTCTTTACTTACACGGTTGTGGGAAATGCAGGATGGTGGAGTTGTAAACTGCTCCTGGAACCGAGACAGGCCTTAATTTTCAATTGGCTTCAGGAGTTGGCAACTTCAGGTACACCATCGTAGCTCAGGTAGCAGCACCGTTGACGTTTCTCAGTGGCAGGTCCTGGCACAAAACTTGGAATGTGTGCAGTAATGTGTATGCCAATTCAGCATTTAGTCGGAATGTGAAATTTGGGTTTCCCGTCCCCACTTTTTGAATTAAGGGCCAGGTGGGAGTATGTGGTAGAACTCAGGCTTCCGGTAGTGAAATAAATAACATCGAATTCAGTCCAACAGATACTTCTTGCACAGCTACCCACATGAGGCAACATGCTGCTGTGCATGAGGATGGAGAAAATACAAATTACAGTAATAACGTGAGTTAAAACACTCTAAACGTTTCCTAAATACGTTTTGAATTTACTGTGTTCTTGGAATAAAGATACGTTTGTGATCAAACAAAAGTAAACTTCTATCTCGAGATGAAATGTCTGACATGTTCTCAACCATAGTAGGCAGCAATTTATTTTGACTTTTTTTTAATGTCACCAACTCACAACATGAAATCCGCTTAGCTTATTTGAATGAATGAATTTTAAATGGAATATTTAGTGCTGTGGAGAGTCAGCCTTATTTAAAAACCTAAATGGCATTTCTTACCAGTTTTCACAAAACCCCAAAGAAGTAGTCTGTGATGCTTTGCCCTATGCTTTCTAATTTCTCCTCATCCTGCATGCATGGACATGGTGAGGTTCCGTATGCACGCCTGCTCTAAACAAAATGTGTGACCTTAGCCCTTTGATTCCATCACCTGCCTAATCCTTTCTTATTGTCTTGGAGGAAGTTGGCTCGTGGACAGCAGACTTGATAAGGTAGGATAATTTATTATCTGGAGTTTGGCAAGTGCTTTCCACTTTGCGGCCTGGGTAGG